CACCTCCCTGCCAGCCCCGTCTCACAAGCAGGCATCCAAGTCACTCCCTCATCCTCCCTTTACTACTCACCACCATTAAGGGATTTCAAGTTTTATCCTCCAAAGCATCCGATTGCTGCTTGCCTGTCAGGGTTAGGGTGCAGCAAGGGTGCAGGGCCCAGAGGGAGGCAGGAAAGAGGGCAGGAATACGCCTCTCCCATCTTCCCTTGTGTTAGACAACCTATGGTTTCTGGAAAGTATAGTCAGAAAGTGCAGGGGCACTGGAGTGGTCACAACTTTCCCAAATTTTGTTTCCCATAGGAGTTATGAGTTCCAGCATTCTGTTTGTTAGCCCATTTATGTTACATTGGTTCAATAATTGTTGCCCTATGCTTTGTAATTTTGCCCAGCTGAAGTTTACAGATAGACACAAGAATTTCAATAGTATAGCAGTTCCTATAGATAGCATATCACCAATCTAGTGACCTCAAAGAATGTTAGTCCATATGGAACTGCAAACCTATATTCACATATACTATTGTGTAGTAGCCATAGTTCCTTCCTAGAGGGAAATATAATTGCTGTTTGTTAAAATACTGATTTATACTTGGGGAACAGCTTGTTTTTCTGTCTAGTTCTGATTGTGTCTCAGTAAGAAAAGAAAATGTTTCTCTGTATGGTAACTGATTTAGATGCAAAAAAATTAAAAGCTTACTTATTTGTATTGCAATCAGTCGTAACCTTGGAGGAATAAAGTACTTTTCAAACTCATTTCAAATTGAATAGGGGACATTTGAAATGGACAATGCACAAACCTTTATTAACATTTACGATACGCTGTAGTGGCTATTTGAAAAGAGCATAAGAAAAGGAAACATACTGAGTAGTTCAGCATGTGGAAAATTCAAGAAACTGTATTTGGAGCTTAAGTCTTACTGCTTTTCACCTATACTGCTATTCTCTAAGGAAAAAAAAACCTAGTTACTATAATGACTCCAAAGGTATTTATTTTACATATTTGCATACAGGATGCTAGGTTATGCACTTTTTAGGCAGCCCATAACACTTTAAGTTATAGCATTTAACATTTCACAAAACATGAAATGAGAAGATTAAAATGTATAAAATGTGGCCATGTTTAATAGTACTGCAAAAGAAAAATTGAAAATCACACATAGAGGCCAGAAGCCACATGTCCTGACAACCATAAAACCCTAAGGCCACTGGGACCATGAGATAGGAGGATCATTGTCTAAAGAGTGCTATGAGATTCACCGTTTGAGAAAGATTAGCAGACATAGCTGCAGAAAGTTGCCACAAGAGGGTGCTAAAATGCTATGTTTTAAAAGTATAGTTTGAGTCAAGCATATTGTCCATATGTGTTGTACTGTAAAATGTTAAATATCTCAAATGTTATATGTAAGTGTATGGTATCTAATGGCTGTCTTCCATATTCTATGTTCCCTAGCCCCTCCCTTGTGGGTTACCAAAGGGATTTTGTCCCTCCTCCTTTTCAGTATTTATATCAAACCATTGTAGTCAGAGATCATCCACCTGTATGGGATTCTGCATCATCAGTATACTGATGGTACTTGTGTCTTTCGATTCCAGGCTGGCCAAATGTGGTTACTGAGGTTCTGTCCCAGTGTTTGGAGCAACACAAATTTGGATGTGTTGGAATCATGTCTGTCTCCCTCCCTCCCTCCCTCACTCACTCACTCACTCACTCACTCACTCACTCACTCACTCACTCACTCACTTACTTACTTACTTACTTACTTACTTACTTACTTCTAGATGGATGCCCATTCATTGCCTTGCCTTTGAGCAGCTTACAAGGTTAAACATCTCCCCCCAAATAGTACAAACATAACCAAAAAAATAATCATAGAAATCAGTAAAATCATTTAAAAAAAATATTAAAAACCATAAAAACCACAAACTGAGAGCACCGTTCATTTTCCTAGAAATACAGCCAGGCTCTCCACCAACATCAGTGGATCCCCATGATGTCATCAGGCTCTTCCGAAAAGCCAACAAGGTCAAGGCCACTTTCACTTGGGGGATGATATTGCAAAAGGTGGGCCCTGCAGCAGAAAAAGCTCTCTGGGGTCTTACCAAATGACAACATCATAGACAGGACCCATGACACGTCCTTTTTATCAGTTCTGTGTCATCTCACATCTTGACTACTGTAATACACTGTATGTGAGGCTGCCCTTAAAGACCACTGAAAACTTCAAGTGGTCTAGAATGCAACTGGCAGACAGTGTTAGGCATGTCTCAGTAAGCCCACATTAATGCCTCTGCTTTGTGAGCTGCACTGGTTGCCATTTTGTTTCTAGGAGCAATCCAAGGTTGCTATCTATAAAGCCATACATGGCATAGGTCCTGGTTACTTGAGGGTCAGAATAGATCCCCCGCTTCTAGGCTATGTTTTCTTCTTCTCTCAGGATAGATTTCAGTTATGTTTTTTTCCAGATTCTCCTTTTGAGCAGTTTCTTTGCAAAAGTCCAGAGGAATTCTATCACCTCACCATCGTTACATTATGGTAGCTTTGGCTGCCATGATTTGCTCCTCTGTTGCATTTTACTTATTTTCCAAACCATTTTCTACCCATTAAGAGCAAATGGATCATCTGGATCTTAACTTCCCATTTGGCAGGGTGGATTGAGTTGCTCATCACCTCAAAATTTAACCTAAAGAAGTTCCTCATGCTTTCTCATCTGTCCTCAAGGAGTTTCTTACATATTGATTGATTCTGTGCTATCAAGGTCAGTTACTACTCTTAACAGTCACCTAAGCAGGTTTTCTTAATGATGATATGTAGCTAAATGTAAATCCTTTGAGGACTTCATACATAAGGAGCACTGACTCTTTACAAAGCCAGATTCACCAATTTTGGGTGTGTACTTCACTCATAACACGGCTCCTCTCATAAGAATATACCTCGTAACCATTTCTTCCTTCCACCCTCCAGCAGACAGTACTAACTTTTTTCCAATAAGTAATAAAGTGCTTCACGAGTTCTAGCTTGTCTATTTCCATCATTCTGCTGGAAGGTTTCCTCTTCCTTTTCATGTTATCAAATCTTTCAAGCCTTATCTATATGTGGTCAAAGCCCTTCAGATTGACTCCCAAGTCAATTGCCATAATAAAAGATGGCATTGTGACATCAACTCACCAACTGAGAGCATTATGTGCCTTGCATAGATACGATCCTTCTTTTAATTTCATGGAGTAAGACTGTTGTTTGTCCAAACTTTTCCTCCTTATATCTGATGCTGCATTCTACTTGGATTGGGCTATTATATTGCCTACCGTGGTTTCCCAGTTCCTCAAAACTGAAAAAAGAAATTAGCTTGGTGTCAAAGCCAATTGACTACCAAACACAAGGCGTGAAACAAAAGGACTTTTATTTTGGTACCAAGATATACGTGGCCCCGGCTTTGAAAGCTACCAAGGCCCTAATTACAGTTTTATAGCAGTTTTTATAATCAAAGATAATTCACATACACCCCTTTGCCCTCCCCTCAATAATACACGCATAACATATAATATTGATTGGTTACCTGGATTGCAACCCCCTAAAGCAGGGGTAGGCAACCTTGGCTCTTTTATGACTCGTGGACTTCAACTCCCAGAATTTCTGAGCCAGCTATGCTCAGTCCACGAGTCATAAAAGAGCCAAGGTTGCCTACCCCTGCCCTAAAGCTTTCTCGCTTGCTATGCAAAATAGTTAAATGTCACGCCACCTATTGCTCACCTCGGGTCATGGGTATCTTGCAAAGCTTCTAGTTTCCTGTGTCAACTATGTGGTTTTGAGTTTTCTTGTAAGTGAGCTATTCATGTACCCAACATCCTAAGTGGTTTCTGACAGGTAAATCTCTCGCTTCATTGCCCCTGCAGCCCCCCCTCCCCGCAATGCTATCAACTGTTAGCAAGCTTGTATGCGTAGTGAGCAGAAAGAAAAAGTTGTTTAATTGTCTTAAGAGTAAATGTTTTTCTCACAATTCATCTTCTCCACTCTCATGTCCATCACACCCACACCTGGGTCCTATCTCCACATATGACCCTTTTTCTGATCCCCAGGGCCTCATCTGCACATATATTCTTTCATCTGACCCTTCAGAAGTCTTGAAGACATGTTATGATTTAAATCTTTAGTTAAATCTTGGTGATCCGTGGCCATGGTCTTTGGCCACAAAAGGTATTTAAAGGGGGTCTGTAATGAAGAAAACGTTGAAAACTACAGCTATAAGCTATAAAATATATTTTATGAACTGTGCACAGCCACATGATCTGTGTGTTTGGATTCATAGATTGTCACTCCAAGAACCCCTCATCATAGATGAGTAACAAATCCTTTTGGATAATCTCTGTTCTCTTTCCGTCCAAATTAAAGAAAACTTGACTGCCTGAATTTTAAGAATTACCTGGTTTTGAAAATATTAGGTGTGGAGGAGGTACTGAGCAAGGCGATGGGAATAAAGAAATTACATTTTTGCTGGTCTAAACTTTAAGAAAAATAAGAAATCTGGGGGTTTTCCCCAGTCAGATTAGTGAGAACTGTTAACTTTGTTCAATCCAAAGAAAAATAACAATTATGACAACCTTACTGTACTACAAATAACTGTCCTTAGTGATTCCACAACACGATGTAGGAAAGAGGTTGTTGTGTCTAAAGGTCCTTCATCAGTGGAATCTGAGGAAAGGAACAAGCAAGGAAGCCATGTAATGTGTCATAATGTCACAACACAAACTTTGCAACTTATGTCTCTATCAGGCATCATAATGCATGTGCATATTGTTTTTTATCATTGTGACTTGGTGTGGATATCTATGCCTTTCATTGGCCCAATTAGATGCACAGACTCTCTTACCATTATTCTATAGATTTTTTACTAATTATTTTTCTCATTTGCAGAATATTGTAATTGAAGATCATCAAGGGAAAATAATTCCATTTTGGAGTTTGGTATTATTATTCCAAGACAGAGAAATTTTGCAGCTCCACACAGAACTGGATTTTCACCCTAGTTTAGCAGCTTTGCTGCTCACTTAAATACTGATGAATGAAGACCCCATTTGGAAAGGCACCAGGTCAGCGATCCAGAGCTGATGCAGGTAGGTAATACCATCCTACATCCCATCAGTGGGTAGCAAACATTGATGGCTGCAGATCCATATCTTGCATTGTGGTGCTTCTAGGTGTTGGAGGCCAGATGCCTGTACCTGAGAGTTCTGCTAGTTTCTTGCGTTTGTCACACTAGACATCCACTGCAAATGTAGACTGGCACATTCATACTGGAGTGCTCAACATGGCAAGAGGGACGTAAGAGGGTAGGTGATGTTCCTGCTGTTCTTTAGAACTGTTGGCTACTAAACAGGAGATCTAGATCAGTTTCTCAGGAAGTCTCTTCGAAAATTCTAATCAGTTTAAAACTGATCGTTAATTGTCCTTACTCTTTTCTTCTTCGAATATTATCTTGCATGTGCAGGTGTCCACCTAAATTTGCTTTGTCCTGATAAGGCTTTGGTTCTTTTTAATCAAAAAGGAGGTGCAAAAATATTTAGGCAAGTTTGGTTACAGTCTCTGTATGCAACATGAATTAAGCATGCTGAAGGAGGGAGGCCAAGTGTACAATTGCAACTCATTCTTCCACCTCATGCACAGTTAAGAATGTTTGCATATACAGAGGATTTAGTTGTAGTTTTTTCTGCTGTCCTCATATTGATATAATTTGACAAATTGTGTTTTGCTATTTATATCATCCCTTAAATCAGGGCTTTTCAACCTTTTCACCCGTTGTACCACTTTTAGGATATGGCAACATCCGAGTACCACCAGTCGCCTAGCAAGGTGTCAAAAACTTGATGACCCCCCCCCCCCAAAAAAAGGAAAAATGTGATGAAGTACAGGTAGTCCTCAACTTACAACAGTTCGCTTAGTGACTGTTCGAAGTTACAATGGCACTGAAAAAAGTGCCCCCCAAGCCACAGCTGAGCAAGACACCTGCCTGCCCGCCCGGTGGCGCTCTTCCTCCTGTCCGAGGTTTTCATTGTTGTGAGCATTTCTGTTGAGGATTGGCAGCGGGGGTGGGGTGGGGGGTGTTTGGTTTTTATCCCCCCTCCCCGTCTGCTGGGTGGTTGAAGCAGCTTTTGGTCACTTCACATGACCCTGGGACACTGTGACCGTCATAAATATGAATCAGTTGCCAAGCATCTGAAAGTAAATCACAAGACCCTGGAGATGTTGCAACATTCCAGCTGATCGGCGCTTCTGGGCTCAACAGAAGCACCAGGATCAGCGCCGAGCTCCAGCTGGACACTGGCACTGATCCTGGCGCTTCTGCTGAGCCCTGACAGCCCTGCAGCTCCAGCCGTCTCTCGCTCAGGCTTGTGCGGTGCTGCCACCGGTTCAGCTCATTCCCCTCCCCCGCTACCACTTTTCTAGGATGGTCGCGTACCACCTGCCAGGTGCCAATGTACCACAGGTGGTACCCGTACCACTGGTTGAAAAGCCCTGCCTTAAATCATTTCAGGCAGACTTTGCTTATAGGATCTGTGCAGTGTGTGTGTGTAATATACTGCATATAAATATGTGGTTATTGCAGAGTGTTGTCCTGCAATAGGTTTAAAATGTAGGACCAGGAATGGTGCTGGATTTTGTGACATATATAGGTAAGGTGTGTGTGTGTGTGTGTTACTAAAATTCTCAGGTCTGTAAACTTTAACTGGGCAAAACAAGGTGCCTCATAGGGCAACTATTTTTGAACCAAGGTACCTTAAATAGAATAACTCAAAGAGTGTGTCTGAAGGCTAGTACCTTACTTCCAGCTAATGAACCATCTTTAGTCAGAGTCATGTTACAGGTTACTCCATATGGAATTACCTATATCTGTTAAGATTTAGCAATCTGAGTCTGACAAACAGAGAAGCATGCTTTAACAACAGATCAGATAAAAACTTGCCAGCCAAAATTGGTAATGTTAACCACAGATAACAATTACCATAGATCAGGGTTGGGCAAAAATTTTCCCAAGGGGCCACACAAGGAACTCAGATTGCTCCAAACTCAACAATGAGGGGCCCAAAGAATAAGTAACTGAAGAAGAAGCGAGACCAACGCTCTGGGACAACTCGACAGTCCAGATCATGGAAAGGTTAAGTGCTGTTTTCAGTTTCCCCATATAAGTCTACCTGAGATTCGAAAAGACTCAGGTTCTGGACAAGGGAAGCCTCAGGAAGCAACCCACTGAGTCCCAAAGGAAAGGGGGTGAAGGAAAGCCTTTCTGAACCAAAGGAAAGGTCAGGACTATAGACAATGGCATGGGTTTTGCCAGAGTAAAAAAAGGAATGAAGCCCCATTGGATTGTGTATTGAAAAACTCGATGGAGGGGCTACCTAATAAAGATTAAATTGATTCATTTTTTTGATGAGTAACTTCATTATCAGTCAAGTAAAGTGATCACCAAAAGAAAACCTGGATTATACTGCAATGTTGCAATTGCTACTTTATCGTAGGAAAAAGAAATAATTGGAATATATGTATGAACATGTTTTAAGTTTATAAGGAAAGAAAACAATTTGCAGGATGACTGTTATGCAATATTGACAACAGAGAGTGAATGTAGCAAGTATGGAAAAGTTTTAGTTGATAATGAAAATAATTTTACCATCCTACATCATAATTTGAATCACTCTTGAGAAAACATGTCCACTTTGAAGGGGGAGACAAGTAGCTTATCACTTTCACATTCTGATTTAACATATGTCCTTGAGATCTCCGACAAGAATAATATCAAAGAAGAGGGGAGTTAAAATGATAAATTGGAAAGTTAATGAAGACCTTAACAAAAATAACTTCACAGGATCCTAAGTCATGTAGATTTAAACAGAAAAAGATTAATTGCTTGCCTTTAAAATAAAATAAAGTCCGAGGACTTCCGGTGGCAGGCGACTTCGTCGGTCGCAGCTGTTTGCTGCCTCCCGCCTGTTT